GTCAAAGTGTGTAGGCTAAGCCAGAAAGAAAAAGAAAAATATCGGATGGTTTCACTTACAGGAGGAATGTAGGGGCATCAAGGAAAAAAAATAATTTTAATAAATTAAAAAAACAAAATGAACAGGCAACTTTTAATCGGAGATACTCCGCAGGGAAGGGCGAGGGAGAGGGATCAAGATAGAGAAGGGGCAAGCAGAGGGGACGATGGTGCTGGTGCAGGGGTGAATTGGTGATGGGAATTTTACAGGGACTACACCTGAGAGAAGAAAGCATATATTGTACAAAAAGGAAGAGTGATGTAAATATATATATATAATATATATACACATATATAATTTTTAAAAGAAAATTATAAAAAGGACAATTATAATTTCCAAAACAAAAGTGCAGACTACCAGTAACAGTCCAGAAGTAGAAGGCACCATCTCCAAGGTAGTAGAAGAGGGAAAGGCATGAGGAAAGTAAAGCAAAGTTTTCAAAATCCAAGCAGGCAAGAAAGAAAGAGTATCACAGGAAAGAGGAAGGAGACACAGAAGGGAGATGAACAGAAAACACAAGTAGGATGGAGCAGAGAGCCCACCGGCTCCACGCAGAAGCCGGAGACCATGAGGCTGGATTAAACGGGCCGGTGTCACCTACAAGAGACACAGCTAAACATGAGGGCAGAGGAAAGTGAAAGTATAGAAAGATCTGGTAGGTAAAGGTAACCAGGAGACAGCCGGTAACATCAGCCAACACAGACATCGAGGCTCGGCGAGATGTGCCAGGGTCCCGCACGGCGGGAAAATTAAATCACAACAAAGAAGTTCCAATTCTAAACTTGTTTAATAAACTTCAGAATAGAAAAAGCAAAATGGACAGAAAATAACAACAAATCTCCATCATAATAGTTGACTTAGGATCACTGGCCAGCTCCACGCATGGCTGTGGGGACTTTGCACACATTAACTCAAACACATCAATCCTGTCTTCTGTGTTTCCGTTTTGCAGGCAAAGAAAGTCAGGCACAAAGAAGTGACACCTCTCAAAAAATGTTACAAGCCAGAAAAAAAAAAAAAATCCCTAATGATAGGGAGATTTGGATAACACACTACAAATACAGAGAATCAGCAACAAAGAAGCAACTGAACATTCTTTTCAGTTACTTACGGAAAATTTGTCAAACTCGACCGTTACTAGGCCATACAGCAAAATCTCCACAGACAGGAAAGACCCAAACTCAGGCTTTCTACACCACAGTGCTACTAAATAGACATCAAAAGTAAGCAGATGAACTTTTAAATATGCCATACAATAAGAAATTTTTTAAAACGCTTCTAGTTAAATCGCAGGAAAGACTAAAATAGTAAAAGAAAAGAAAGCTATCTGAAAATGAACAACAATAATACTAAAAAAACTAGGTGGGGTTGGTTTCCCCCTAAAGGTCAGGGTTTTCTCAATGCCCCCAAGGAAGAAGGCTTCTTGTTACCTTGATGTGGGAACTAGAGGTCAGTGGGGCCCCTCAGCCTTAGTTAGGAGGTGTTATCAGCACTAAAAGAATGTGGATGGTTTGGGTTGGGTGCAGCGAGGGCACTGAAGTCTAGACAAACTCCTGTTCTTGACTAAATCCTCTGCCTCGCCCTAATCAAAGATGACATCAGTGAGTCCTAAGCTTTTGTCCTTCCCCTAATCAGAGATGCAATCTCTGATTGCGGCACCTTTTATGAGCCAGAAGAATGTAGTTTGAGTGGTCACAGCCAGTTCTAGGCGTATCAGTGAACACCTCCTCTCTATTAAGGATGAGGTCACCCCCTCCCTTCTGTCCTGGGAAGTCTCCCTTACTCGCTCCTTGATGCTACAGGTCCCTAAATGCAGGATAAATAAATGCTTCATTGGTTCGTTGTTCTTTAGAATTTACAACCGTGTAAATGCTCCAAACATATGTCTCTAAATTGATTAACACTGTTATTAGGTTTTCTTTTGCTAACCCATTTGACTACTCATCCGGTCCAAGAAGAATCCAGAGGGATGATTTCCCTCGCACTTCAACAACTACATATCCAAGTCTGTGGGTGGCAGATAAAGTAGTACTTAGAGAGGAAAGTTATTACTTAAACTTTAATCAGAAAAGCTGAAATGAGGTAAGCATCTGAAGAAGGAAAGGGAGAAGAAAAAGAAAGTAAATGAAAGAGAAAATAAAATTAGAAAAGAGAAGCAGTGTAAAGATAAATTTTGGTTCTTGGAAAATGCTCAGTGATTTTAGCAAAGTGATCCAAAAAAGAATACACACACAGCATTGGGCATCAACAAAGAGGGCGCAACAACATATGCAACAAAAATTTAGTAAAAATAAGTGAGAAACATCATATTGAATGAAAAATATTGTGGGCAACTTTGGTCAGTAAATTTGAAAACAGGATGAAACAGATTATATTTCTAGATAAGTACAACCCACCAGGGTCAACCAAAGAAGCAGACAAAAAAGGAATCACATCCATAGCTAGAAACGTTCTGGCAATGAACTTCTTACAAGACTTAAGGAACAGTTCATGGCATTACACATATATTATTTCAGAAAATAGCAGAAAAACCAACATTCCAGAACTTAAGGAAAGTGAACTCAAGAAGATAAAAATATATAGACTAGTGTCAATGAATACAGATGCAAAATCTAAGAAAGCATTGACAAAACAAATTCAGCTAGGTATAAACAATAATTAGAACAATCATCACAATATGATGGGAGTGCATCATAAAAAATACATCATAATCTGGTTGGATTTGCCCCAAGAATGCTAATTGGTTCAATATAATAAAACTGATTAGTCAGACATCACATTAACAGATTCAAGGAAGCAGAAAAAGAATTTGGCAATACTGAAAATCAAATCAAACTTTAAAAAACCCTCTTGGTAACATGGGAGGGGAAGGGGAACACTAACCTGATAAGGTGAATGCCCAGGTCATGTTATATGTTAACATTGTGCTTCTTGAAGGACGCTGGAAACTCTCTCTTTTTTTTTTAAAGGTTTATTTATTTTTAATTTATTTATACAAGCACTGGGTACAGTCAGAAGCGCGGGAGGGTGAGAGAATTCACCAGAGCCAGAGTGGGGAGCAGAACAGGCAGAAGGACCGAAGTACACTGCTGAGGGGAGCAGCGGGCGGCAGGAGAGGTCTGCGTGCCATGTGGGACCCTCCTCTGGTGGCCGGGGAGCAGCCGGGGATCGAACGGGCGCCGCAGAGGCTGCGGGCAGCCTCGCAACCCAGCGCTCAACCGCTGCGCCACCGGGGAGGCCCAACACTCTCTTCTTAATCAAACAAAAGAGAGTCATGGCTCCTCTCAATTTATGGAGGTAATAACCAGCAGGGCAAGATAAGAAAAACAAATAAAAGGCATACGGATTGAAGAAGAAGATATAAGTCTAAACAAAAAAATCCAAAACAGAAATAAAAATCCAAAATAAAAATAAGAGACTAAGGCACTTTGCTTCAAAGTTGAGCATTCTCCACGCCACGTGAATTCAGTAAAAAACATGCTATTGCATGAAAAAAATCAAGTCCAAAGGAAGGAAAGGACGATGATGCTTTTATAAAGGTGAAGAGAAGCAAAAGTGGAATATACTCTTTGGCGATCCACACACTTGCAGTCAGGTTGTACCAAAGGAGGAGACAAAACACCCAGCAGCGGATGAGGTTTAGCTGTAGGGATGCGATAAAGGGGGGTAGGATGGGACTGGGGGGCACGGATGTCAACGGCACTAATCAGATTGCATCTCGCCGCCAGCAGACAGTCCTTTTGCTGTTTACTACACACTATTGTACACATACAATGTAAAGAGTAAACATTCACTCTTGACCTTAATAGACTATTTTTTATTGAGGAAACGGTTTGCAGCGCTGCCGTCATCACGCCCCACCCATGCTCTGATTTCATTGAGGAGAGGGAACCATTCCCTAAGACTGTGCACTTTTGTGCCGGATATATTTCCAGATAGAACATTTGCTGAGCATGTGATTTGCTCAGCAAATGATTTGACCTTGTTTCATCCAAAGTGAGTTTTTAAAAAATAATCCATGTCCACCTAATTCATTTTCAATACTGGGGGGAGGTGGATATTTAATGAGAACTTGGGGCCAATTGATGGTAATGTATGGTAACTTTGCTGGCAAATTAATAGATCTTGAGGTAAAGAGCAGATCCCCACTGCAGATCAAGTTCAGATACGGAGAACATGTATTTCCATAGAGCAGATCCTTTTTTGAGGAAGACCCACCACTCCCTGCACGTGGTCTTCAAGCAGGGACGTGGAGAAACCAGGCAAGTAGTTAAGAACTCATTCACACTATTTTCCAACCAGACTCTGCCCACCAACCCGCGAGAGCACAGGAAGTCCACGAAGACACAGGCCTCTCCCCACCTAGAGCTCGAGGCTGCCGGGGCAGTGAGGAATGAATACTGTTATTGAACAGCCTAATTTCGTTTGCTCGGTATTGACGCTTTTCTAAAAAGAAAATTCAGCGTCCCGGGCAAACACACAGGGCACCCGAGGAAGGCACAGCAGGGGCGCTGAGGTTCCTCACCGCCAACACTAATGTTTAGAGATGCTGCCCGCCACCTGCCACCAGCCGGGACCAGCGACCGGACGCCTGGCCAGCCTGCGGGGCTCCATCTCCGAAGGAAGCATTCGAAGCTGCCTGCTCGGGCTTCTCAAGAGGCCGCCTGTTTCTCTGAACAGCCTTCACTGAGGGCAGGGCCGCCGTCCCTGGAATTCACCCTCCGACCCTCTGTTCACCATGTCACCATCGGGCCGACTCAACAGATAAAGCACTCAAGTCCTAACACACAGGAGCCCCCCATGGGAGCTCCTGGGACCTCAGGCTGGTTGACACAATGTGAAAACGACCCCAAGTTGAATGACCTTTGGTGGTTTCATCAGAAAGGAGAACTTGGGGCACGCGCAGACTGCGGGGTGAGGGGAGAAGGGAAACGAAAGAGAGACTGTCACTTTCACCTCACCTTTTCAACATCCGCTTTTGTGACATTGATGTCGGCGTCCATCTTCTCAAAGTACTGCTGTGCGCGGTCGGCCTCCTTGCAATCCCGCTCAAACCGTCTTTTACTCTAAAAGCAGAGGAAGATGATGGCCGGGAACGCAGTTATTAGTGGGCCTGTGGGTTCCCAGTGGAAGGTGGTTCTCTTGCCATCCCCCCACCGCCCCCCACCCCGAACATTCCTCTCTGAACAGGGCTGCGGCAGGTGGACACTCAGGGGTTATTCTAGATCTCACTTATGTCCACCTGAACTTGGCTCTTCTCATGGAGTTTTAGGAAAAATACTCCACTCGAGCTCTTTTGGTGCAATGTTTTCCTTTGGAAAAAAGTTTTCTAGAAATAAATTCAATCCGAATCAGAAAAATCTTGAAAGACATTTCTTGGGTGTTTTTGTTTGCTTTGTACTCACGGGTTGACTCAAGCTTAAATACACCTCAAATCAGAAGATCTTTAAAGATGGTTCTTTGGCTGCTTATCACTTACAGATTCGAGCTGCTTCCAGCAAGTCTCTATGTGTTGCTGCGCCTTCCGTCCGTCGTGAAAGTGCTAGAGGGGGAAACACACCAGGGATTAGGGATCAGCACCCCTCTTTCTCATAGTCACCCCTGAGTGAAAAATCACCCATTTAAATAGCATTTAAATATCAATCAGGTGGCAGGTGTACTCCAAAGAAGTGAGAGTTAAAACAAGAGCCAGGGAGTTCCCACTAACACATGAGATGACGTGCTGAATTCTGAGGCTGACGGGCACCCTGAGCGAATGCCGGGAAGGCTCTACTAAGACAGCATTACTCAGCGCTTGAGTTTTGTGGCCGTCCAGAGAGAAAATGCACACACGCCATTCACTCACCTACGTGGTACAACTTCTAGTATCACAAAGTCATGGAACCACCCCTCAATCCATTTTAGAACATTTTTTTATCACCCAAGAGGGAAACCCTGCATCTCCCACTGTCACCTTCCTGTCTGCTCATGCTCTCCAGCCCCCGAGTCTGCTGTCTATCCCCATAGGTTTGTCTGGCCTGGGGGTCTCCTATGAAGGGACTGGCACTATCTGAGGTCCTCTGGATGGGCGTCTGCTCTGTTATTCCTTCACGTTCACTGAGCACAACGTCTTCGAGGTTCATCCATGGAACATGTCCCGTGGCTGAATCCTTCTCATCGTCTCTTGAAACCCCCATGTGGACGGAGCACGTGATCCACCCCCAGCCCCGCCAGTGGACACTTAGGTCGTTTCCACTGGATCATGAATAATGCTGTTTCCTCGTGGGGGTGGACAGTTCCATTTTCAGATCTTTTTATTTTACTTTCTTCGCTCTATGAATGTAAGGCTTTATTTTCCTACTTCACTGTAGTGCTCTGACAAGATGACATCTGTGTACCAGAGTCTGTGCAGACGGCAACAGTGAGAGCTTGTCGAGATGCCACTGCCAAAATATTTAGCTTTTTGTAGGACACTGGACATGTTAGGTGGCCACGCCAAAAAAATTTGTTTTTCCTTGGATAATTTTTTATAAGATTTATTTATTTATACAAGAACCAGGGTACAGGCCAGATGCGCAGGAGGGTGAGAGGCTTCACCAGAGACAGAGCGGGGAACAGAACAGGCAGATTGACTGAAATACACTGCTGGGGGGAGCAGCGGGCGAGACAGGAGAGGTCTGCTCGCCATGTGGGTATCTCCACAGCCGGCTGGGATCGAACCAGCACTACAGAGGCTGCGGACAGCTTCACAGCGCTGCGCTCAACCGCCTGCGCCACCAGGGAGGCCCTTGGATAATAATTTTTTAATTAGTACTACCTTAACCTCACTGTTAATAGAACTGTAAATTCTGGGGGACGAGGTGTGGGGGACGGGGAGGGATCATTCAACCATGGTATGCTGCAGTAAGTCCCTGGGGGAATCTCACACACCCCAAGGGAACTGTCACAGTCACAAAGGGCCAGTTGCTGAAGTTCTTTTGAGAATACTGGCTAGCTCGCTTATTTAGATCTTTCTAAATGGAAGGGAACCTGCATTTTGCTGTTACCCACAAAGGCTCTGAGCCAGGTAGGTGCCTGCTGCTTTGCAGCAAGGATTCCTGTGGGCTGGATGGGGGGGCACCTCTAGACTATTAGGAGGTAGGGTTGGAGGAGAGGAGCACTGGTGATGAGGGTGACAGAGACTTGGACCCTGGGGTATTGGTGCAGCTGGGGAGAGTGCATTGGATTCTGGGTGTGCTCTGGTCAGGAAAGTCACGGGGTGTGCTGGCAGTGGTGTCGGGAGGGGCCGAGAGACACTCAGGTGTCAGGAAGACTCTGGGGTCACTGGTCTGAGCCGTAGAGGAGAAGCAAGGGCAGAGAAGCAGGTCTGAGGAGGGCAACCAGACTCGGGGTTAGACATGTGGGCTGATATTTCTAGAAGCCTCCAGGAGGAGGTCTAGTTATAGGCAGTCACGGAGGTCATATGAGAGATTCAAGCTCAGAGGAGGGTCAAGGCTGGAAAGATGGCCATGAGAGTAAGTCAGCGGCATCAAGTGGGCCCTCAAAGCCAGGAGACCGGATGAGATCACCAAAGCAGCCGGAACCCCCAAGGAACAGCAGCTGGAGACAAGAGGAATATGAGGAAAATGATCTCCTCTCCTTGCCAGTCGCCTCACATCACCAGTGTTCCCCAAATCCTCTGACTGTGACATCACTGACGCCATCAGAGTCGTAGCAACTTCCCAGCGCCATTCTCCAGGCTGCTCTGTGTCCCAGCGGCTGACCTGCAGGGACCCCGTCCCCAGGGTCTTCCAGATCTGCCAGGGAGTGGTTCTGGCATGCCAGGGGTGGGAATTTCAGGGTGGCTGGTCCCTGGACCATGGCTCCATCAGGCAGCTCACCAGTGGGGTCCCTGGAAGGCCTCCCCACCCCTTGAACGAGGGGCCACACCACAGCAGCTCGCTGTGATTAGCCCCAGGGCGGGCACCGACCGACTGCTTCTCCTGAGCCCTCTCCACAACCTGTAAATGCTCCTTTAATAACCGACCTTCCTCCGATTACTGGGCTTGAATGTGCTGTCTGTTTTCGGGCAGACAAGGCAGGCGCTGGAGGTGGGGTGCGATGGAGGAGGAAGGTGGGAGGACACAAATGACGTGGCCCCTCAGCCGAGCAGGCAGCTTTCGGCCTCACCTGGTCAGCCCCGGGCTCAGCGGCGTCACTAAAGGTAAGCTGAGGACCCGGAGGCTCGGGAGGAGGGACAAGTCAGCGTTCTCTCTCTCTAAGAACCGTGCTCCTTCACAAGGGAATGAATGGGGCGTCTTTGGAAGTCACCTTCGCTGATTTAAGCGCCTCTCGACAGCAAGTTTTATCCATCCATTTACTTTTTTGGTCTCTGAGCCCAAGAGGAGCTGTATTTCTTAAGTCTCATTGTAGACTTAAGAAACAGGAAGGGCAGAAATGACCAAGCAAGGGAGGAGCAAGCTGTGGGGGAGTCAGAAGTCGAGCTGAGGACAGCTGGGGAAACCTTGACCTCTGGAGCAAGCTCAAACGCAGGCCAGCTATGTGACCGTGGCATGGATCACCTTAAAAAAGAATTGGAGGGAAGGAGTGAGGAGTCCTCAGGGAGAGCCTGGCGGAGAACAGGCTCAGGAGAGGCCGAGGCTCGGCCAACCCCCGGCAGCAGGGTACCCACCCTCCTGGAGGTCCCTCGTCCACTCTGAACTCTGACTTTCCCATCCAGCAAGAGCACCCCTTTTTGCAAGCAGGACCACAGGCCCTGCACTTGACTGAAAAGACCTCTCCCTGCTCCCAAGTTTTACTTTGAGATTCAAAGACAGACGCAGAAAGAAAACCCTCAGGCCTCATCAGAGCTGTGCTGCAGGTGTGTGCCGTCTCTCTGCCCTGGGGGAGACAGGAAATGCAGCAGGTAACCCACAGACAGCGAGGAGGCAGCACAGGAAAGGCTGACCCGCTTTATCTCCTGGCGGCATCTTTGCTGCACTCATCTTGGAACAAAGGGCCCTCCTCTGAGAGGTACCCGATGGCTTCGCTAGTCAGCTTTCCCGCCACTTTTACGTGTAAATGTTTAATCGTAAATATCCCCACTCAGGACCCCCGACCACCCCACAATTCGGTGCAACTAAAATCAATGCTCTGGAAACCCCACTGGAAACATTACATGTGTCTTAAGAAAAGACAATCTAGGTGTTTTCCTGCTAGGTTTTCTTTCACGGTCCTTATTCCTCCTGAATTTGTTTGGCCCTGACACTCACAAAATCACTTTGTGTGCAGCCCGATCCCTCGGGATGTGAAGGGGCGGAACAAAAGCCCTCCTTAATGGTGCTGCGCATCGGGTGACCTAAATAGCGGTGTCCTTTGTAACCAGCCGAGCGCCCTCCTTGAATGGGAAAAGCTACTTGAACAGTTACAACGTTAAGCAAACCGGGGCCAGATGTATGTGGCTTATTAACCAACAATGCAAAGCATTTCTTCCCTGGACAGTGAGCAAGTGTGTGCTAGCAACTGGGCCTCCGAGCTCCAGATAAAGAGGAATTGTCCTCCAGAGCGAGATAATAAGCACTTCTTTTGGAGCTGCGGGATGATGTCAGCAGAGCCCTCTGCTGCCATCAGAGCAGCGACAGGAAATGCCATCTCTGGGGACCCCAGGAAGGCCCCCCACTTTCTCCTGTACCAAGAGGCTATAGTTTCTCTTCCGACGTCATAATAGACCCTTTTAAATGTCTGATGGGATCTGGGGGGACAGCTAAACTTACTTGTTTTCAACTTTTTGGTAGAACTTTAAAAACATACAAATAAAATCTAGACACATGAACTCATTCTCTAAAATATGTTTGAGGAATCTCCCAGCGATCAGGAGTAGCTGAGCTAAAAAATCCCAAGCCTCCTAAAATAAGCCAGTGTTCACTTAAAAGGAAAATGACGAGGAGGAGAGGATTTTACTGCTCAGCAAGAAATCCCCAGGCTGAAAAGAAGAGCAGTGAGGACAATTGTCATTCACACTCCACCCTTAGGTGCCAGAGATGCTCATTTTTACAAGATACGTAACAGACCATCCTTTTATAAAGGACATTAGAAAGCAAAATACGGCCTCGGCGTGAGGACAGGCCCTTCTTTAACATGCAGAAAAAATAAAAGAAGAAACACTCCATTGAGGACAGTCAACCATCTGGAAATTTAAGTAAAACGCAGACTGCACAGATAAAAAGAGCACAAAGGCTTGAAAGGGCCAGAAAAGGTGTTTCCAGAGAAACTGTCTGAGTCATTCTCGTTTCCTCAAGACCCTCAGCGGAGCAGGCTGGGAGGCCAAGGGCTTCCAAGCCTGACTCGCACGCCTGCTTTTAACTGAAGGAGAAATCAAGGTGGGGCAGCTCGTCCCATGGGCTGTGTGGGGAAACCGGGAAACACCCTCGGACCTGCTGTCACCCCCTCCCCGAAATCCCAAACCACAAACCTCCCCACATGCAGGAGTCCGGCTCTGCTTTTATTCCACAAGCCTGTTTCCCCACAACCATTTATAATAAAAGTATCTTTTCAATGAACTTGTTCAAGGTTCCGAAGATGCCTCCCTCCCAGCGCCCCTTAGTTGTTTAGCTTCACCCGAAACGCTGTCCATCTGGGCTCCGGGCAGGGGCCTGCCAGGGCCTCGGTCCAGGGCTGGGCACACGAGCCTGCCTTCTCCCGGGGCTCCTCCCTCCTCTGCCCCTAGGGAATCCTGATGCTCCAGAAATCTCCGCATCCAGCAGCCTTCTATCCGCCTTGAATATAATCCCTGCTTTCAAATTCTTGAAAATTCTCATTCCTCTGAAGACGCCCTCATCAGCTATTGGGATGAAAGGATCTTAGCACAATCCGTTTCCAGCAGGGAGGGACTAGTCTTCCCTCACTTGATCCCTTCCGAGGGGACAAAACTGTTATTTCCACAAGGAGACTGGTCATTGACGAGAGTTTAGATACAGAGCCGGTGATGGGGGAAACTTCAGATGGTAATGCCCCGGACTGAAAGGTTTTAAAGTCTAATCACTCATTCCTCAGCTCGCTGCATGCTGACAGCACGCCCACCGGGCAGGCTCCAGTATGCAGAAAGCAGCGGGACTAAACAAAGTTCTGTGGTTTTTTTGAGACTGAGGCAGAGATGTGGGTGCAGGCGGCATTTTACATAGGGAGGTCTGGGATGACATTTGAATCAAGTGTGGGAACGATTTGCAAAGGTCTCGGATGCCCCCTCAAGCCGTGGGCACAGCAAATAGAGCTGCTCCAGAGCAGGAAAGGCATTGGCAGGTGCAGGGGAAAGCTGGCACCGGAGCAGTTACACTGAGACCGGGATCAAACAGGGGGTGCGGGCCAGGGCCAGGCTCTGGGGGGCTTCCAGGTCGCAGTGAGCCTGATGGGGGAGTCCGTGGCATGATCTGCCTTATTCTGAGGTTGCGCTGGCTGGTTGCCACCTGGGGATGGACTAAGCAGAGGAAGCTGACAGCAGAGCCAGGAGGAGAAGCTGCATTTGCTGCAGGGAGAGCGGCTGGGGCTGGGAGCGGACCACAGACTGCAGGCGAGTGTGGGGCAGAGAGATGAGTTAGGAGGCTCAGACCAGCGGTGCAGGTGGGAGCGATGAGGGGCTGGCCTGGGGTGAATATGGAGAAAGCAGTGAAAAGGGTTTGGAATTAGTATTTACTGCAGCCAGGGTCAATGGGACTTGATATTACAGGGCACCCCTGTCCACAGAGGAGCCCTTTCAAGACCCCCAGGGGCTGCCTGAGCTGGGGGTAGTGCTGAACTATCTGCTGGTGTTAGCTCTGCACATGCAAACTGACGATTGTTTAGTAACCGAAGGAGGCACAGCAAGAGATCACCACAACAGCTAATAAAATAGAGCAGGCACACCAATCCACTGTAATAAGTTATGTGACTGTGGCCTCTGCCTCGGAAACTCTTACGGTCATACTCTCAGACCGTAGTGGACCACGGGTAACTGAAACCACAGATAAGGGGGGGCTGTATAAGGTGGGGTGTAAGGGAAAAAGAAGCTGTGGCCACCCCATGCTTTGGGTCAGAACACCAGGTTAGAAGACAGCGTCGTCCCCTGGAGAAAAGGCTGCTGGGAAGGGGCGTGGGAGGAGAGTGGGTCCGAAGTTGACTTGGGGACACCTGGAGGTGTCCCCACATGGTCGTCGGGCTCCGGGGCTGCCCGCTAAGGGCCCTTTTGGTGGCAATTGATAAAAATGTCAAAGTAGTTGAAACAAAACTAGAGTAACAAAGTCTCCTTTTGTTCCTTTTCTAGTGTCACTATATTACAACTGAAGAGTTCCCTGTGCACACAACCGTACTCAGAGGTTCAGGCTAAGTAAAAGTGGTCTCTCTCTCTCTCTCTCTCTCTTATCTCCACCCCACCCCAGTCTAGTCAGGTCATCCATGCAACCCACAAGCCTCATCCCAGTGTACAAGGGAGAGAAGCAAACACCTTTCCTATCTAGGAAATCAAGGCTGGAATTTAAGGACCTTAACTTAAGGTGACAGAATCATTTTCCTTTGGATCGTCGCCAGGACCACAGAGGTGACCCCCAGCTCCTGCTCGTCACGAGCAGATGCTCTCGGGAAACGACACGACAGAGCACACTGAGACAGACGTCCAGGCCCTTCAGCTCGCAAAGAGCAGAGTCCAGTCCAGAACCACAAGCCATGGACAGGCGCAAACCTGCATGCTACCCCATGCCCGCACTTCTGGGGGTTTAGCTAAAACAGCTGGAATAACACAGTAACATAGTCACTAATGTTTCAATTATTACCCCCCCCAAAAAACATGAAAAATAAAAAACATAACAATTTATTGTGACTTCATTTAGAAACAGTAAAAGTACTAATGCTATAAAATGAGAATAAAGAAAATATAAATTATATCTAGATTAAGACTAATAATATGTATCTATTATCTGTTATCAGTTATATGTATATGTAATAGATACTAGGTGTCTATATAGCTATTTAAAAAAACAACAACAGGGCCTCCCCGGTGGCGCAGCGGTTGAGCGCTGGGTTGCGAAGCTTCTGCAGCGCTGGTTTGATCCCCAGCCCCCTCCGGGAGAGGGTCCCACATGGCGCGCAGACCTGCCGCCCGCTGCTCCCCTCAGCAGTGTCCTTCGGTCCTTCTGCCTGCTCTGCTCCCCGCTCTGGCTCTGGTGAATTCTCTCACCCTCCCGCGCTTCTGACTGTACCCAGTGCTTGTATAAATAAATAAAAATTTTTTTAAAAAGGCAACTTGGGTTTGAGGCTTTGGAGGTTATAAGGGATTATGAGTTTTTGTTCTTTAATTCAGTTTTACTAATATTCTTAAGACATTTTCACAACTAATAAATGAATCACAGCACACACTCCCAAAAGGGGAGAGCAAATAGAAGAAATAAAAGTTCTATTGATATGTGGTCAGCTTAAAGAGCTGCCAAATATTGTACTTACAGCAAATGTGTAAAAATCTAGAAAAACCAGGCAAGTATAAAATCTTCAGATTTTACACATTAAAATGAGTCGTGTTGCCCTACTTAGAGCAATTGATTCCTCGGTTATTTGTATTCACTATCACTGGACACCACAAAATTCTAGGCATTGTCACAGGGTACGGACTGACTGATTTCATATTTGTGAATAAAAGACTGAAATTAGGGAAAACACCGTGGGCCTGGAGCCGCGGTGGCGTCTGTGCCACCCGCCGGCACGGCAGGAGGTGCAGAGCTGAGACCACGCAGCGCTGTGCACAAATCCACAGCAAGTCAGTAACACTTGATTTAAAAAAAATCATCTGCTTGTGAAAACTGGACACGCCCGAGCTTTGGTGTCCAAGCAGACCCTGGCCATTGAGAAGGCGACGTGGGTGAGCTGCACGGTCACGTGAGCACCCAGCATATTCGGTCAAACATCACCTCTTCTAAAGCACCAGCAACGAGCGCTATCCTAACTCACGGCTGGAGATGTGGAAGCGCGAGCAGCAGGCTCTAGCAGCTCGATCACTATGTTCCTAGAGGCGGCCAAGGCCCCCCACCCTCTCCTACTTCCTCCCCAGTTTACACAGAAAGGGAAGGGAACCCCCTCTTTTGCAGTCAGTCATTTTTCACCACGCAGACTCTTGCTAGAGACTCAGCTCTTCAAAGACAGTAAAATCTAGATGATAAATTTCTCCTGCTGTTCAGAACTAAGCTTGATGCAAGAGCAGGACCCAACAGTCATCCCTCTGGGCAGACAGGATTTCGCCACCACATCGAATGGACCCAAAAGGTATGATCCTAATAAAACATTAATTAAAAAAAAAAAGTATGATCCTGATGGTTAGGTTATTTCTCGACAACCATGAGAAATAGTAGGTAGACCCCCAAACTTAAAAGCAGCCTGTTTTTACTTTTTTAAAGATTTATTTATTTATGCATTCAATAGCTGGGGTACAGGCAAGAGATGCAGGGGGTGAGAGGATCCACCAGAGACGGAGTGGGGAACAGAACAGCGGGCGAGACAGGAGAGGTCTGCTGTACCATGTGGGTTGCTCCCTGGATGGCTGGGGATCGTACTCGTGCTGCAGAGGCTGCGGATTGCTTCATAGTGTGGTGCTTAACCCCTTGCGCCACCAGGGAGGCCCCAAAAGCAGCCTGTTTTTAGTGCCACCCACCATTTTTTAGGAAAGTCATTTGAAATTTACCGGACAACTCATCTACCATATGCTCACATATTTGCTCCTGTGTTCTGGAGTAAACCTTCGATCAGAAAGCTCTGGTGTGGACTATGGCTGGAGCAGCAGAATGCCCGTGGTCAAAGTGTGGGAGCACATGTGCCTGTACCCCACATACAGAGCCCTAGGCTTGGGGTTCTCACTGGTTTTCTCCAAGTCGTCCCCCCCCATCCCCATAAGGAGCTCATCATAATCAGCTCTCAACCTACATAAGGGGGTCTCACAGCTCGGGGTGGGGGTGCTGTGGATTCCTGGGCTCAGCTGCTGGACTGCAAGCTGGTCCTGTGCCCTCCTCACCCACAAACTGCAGACTCTGCAGGGAGCTGCCTCGTGGACTCACTCCCGAGGGGGGCGCCACTCTTCTGGGGAAGGTCTGGGCTCACTGGGCTCATGGCACAGCAAAAAGGCAGCGAGATTTGCCATCACAGGGCCAGCTTTGAGTCCTTGTTCTGTCCAGCCACGTCTGCTCACGAGGAGCCTCATCAGGAAGGTTGCCCTTTGGCAGATCAGATCATGCACCAAGAAAAGTCGAGTGGACAATGGTGAAAAGTCTAGAGGAGAAATATGGCTTAGCATGAGGCCTCAAGGGGCTCCCTCTTTAAAGCTAACCCCCACGAAGATGTTCATACCATTTCAGCCAGCACCCTGGGGTGGGAGGTGAAGAAAACAACTCAGTGGAGATAAGAGCACGTGCTTGCACATGTACCACCTCAAGGCATCTGCCTGTCCTGAAACCCAGCCAACTTCTCCCCGACAGCTCCAGGCTCCTACTCCTGTGCAAACATGCAAAACCAGGGTCCTCATCCCAGGGGCAGTGGGAGGCATCAGTGCATGGCTACAACCTCAGTTACCAAGGTCCATGAGCGAGAATGCTTGAGACTAATTAAATATCCAATATTGCCAGAATCAGGGTTTTTTTAGATTTATTTAATTTTGCATAGAAGAACTGGGGTGCAGGCCAAAGATGCAGGGGATGAGAGGATTCACCAGAGACAGAGTGGGGAGCAGAACAGGCGGATCTACTGCAATACACTGCTGAGGGGAGCAGCAGGGAGACAGGAGAGGTCTGCTGTGCCATGTGGGTCAGCTCTCTGGCCGAGGATCAAACTCAGGCCACAGCAGTGATAGTGCTGAGACTTAACCCCTAGGCCAGCAGGGAGGCCCCATCACCAGAACAGTTTTTTTTTTTTTTTAGAGGCATGTTTTTATTTATTTGTTTGTTTGTTTTTTGTTTATACAAGCACTGGGTACAGTCAGAGGCGCAGGAGGGTGAGAGAATTCACCAGAGCCAGAGCAGGGAGCAGAGCAGGCAGAAGGACCGAAGTACACTGCTGAGGGGAGCAGCGGGCGGCAGGAGAGGTCTGCGCGCCATGTGGGACCCTCCTCCGGTGGCCGGAGAGCAGCCGGGGATTGAACCGGTGCCGCAGAGGCTGCGTGCAGCTTCGCAACCCAGCACTCAACCGCTGCGCCACCGGGGAGGCCCACCAGAACAGTTTTTAAAAGGGCATGTCCACTGGTGGGGATGTGAATGGTACATTCACTATGGCAAACAGTCTCGTGGGTCCTCAACAAATTACTGACAGGACTCATGTGATCCAGCAATCCCACTTTTGGGCATCTTCAGTGCCCATTGGTGGGTAAATGGGGGTGGGGTGGGGCGGTGGGACACACACACACACACACACACACACACACGATCCTACTCAGGTATAAAATAATGAAATCTGAAGATCTGCAATAACAGGGGGAGACGCAGAGGGCACCATGCTCAGTGAAGCAAGTGAGACAGAGAAAAACAAATACTTATAATTTCATCAGTAAGTAGAAGATAAAACAAGCTCTTAGGTTGTGAGAACAGGAAGGTGGTTGCCAGAGGGGAAGGGGTCTGGGGTGGGTAAATCCGCAAAGAGGATCAGTTTTAAGATGGAGCACCGACACTGGACATTTGCTAGCTGCCAAAATGTAGCACATACAGGGAGTGGACGAGAAGGCCACACACCCGAAATCCATATGCTGTTATGAGCCAATGTCACTTTAATAACACATTTCTTTGACGTGCAGTGTACCCACATACAGCACACCACCACGTGAAGCGGCCATTCCCCCAAAATGTGACTAGTATGTAGGACAGAGCAAAAATGTCCATGAAGCATTCATGAAAACATCACGGACACACACTTGCTCACTGATATTCACTCTAGAAACTTCCAAGGCTCCCGTGTTTGCTGGCATTTAATGTCATTACAGATGCTTCCAGAGAGCCCAGGGTTTACAGCTTCTCCCAACAGAACTTTTGACCCAGAGTCAAAAGTTGTCTTGTGTGTCTTGTAATTTTCCTTAACATAAAAGCAGGATATGTATTGGAAGATATTACTTAACGTGTATCTACACTACCTGTAATTTACTCTATGGATGACTATAATTTCTGATTAAAAATGGAACAGAATTCAAAAGACAGATCCAACAGACTGTTAAAAAAGACCCATGATTAAGTGAGTAAATAAAATAAAAGGACCCAATCCTAACCCAGCAAGGAAACACACGGGTCCTCAACTAGTTAAACTAAGTCTGAGGACTCAGCCAAGCTGAGAACTAGGCCATGGACACGACTCCAGAAGCTCAGGATACAACAGTGGACAAGGAAATTCCTGCCTCGTGGAGCTGATGCTCTATGGTAGGATGAAAGAGAAACAAACCTGGGCGTACATAAAATGTTAGGAGGTAGGGAGCACTAGGCAAAAGGTAAAAGCAGGGGAAAGGGGCTGAGAATAGGGCGACCACAGGGTTTGTCACTTTAAATAAGGTGAACAAGCTATACCTCAACACAAAAAGGTGAGGTTCTTGAGAAAGAAGTCAGGAAATGAGTCTGCAGGTATCTCGGAGAGATTTCCAAGGAAAGAAAAGTCATGCAGGGGTCTCCCTGGTGGCCTAGGGGTTAAGTCTCTGTGCTATCACCATGAAGGCCTGAGTTCGGTCCCCAGCCAGGGAGCTACCCACAGGGCGCAGCAGACCTCCCCTGTCTCACTCTCTGCTCCCCTCAGCAGTGTATTTCAGTAAATTGGCCTTTTCTGCTCCCCACTCTGTCTCTGGTGTGTCCTCACCCCCTGCACCTTTGGCCTACACCCCAGTTTTACAATAAATACATAAATGAATAAACTTTTAAAAAGTCGTGTAAAGGTCCTGAGGCAGGAGCACATCAGGCAGGATTAAGGGGCAGCAAGGTGGGCAGGTTATGTGGGCCTCACAGCTGATGATTCACTCCAGAAATAGAACTGATATTTCTTACTAAGGTAAATGCATAGTTTTTGTTTAGGGTGTTGGCCAAAAATGCTAGACTGTATGGGTGGAGGAAGGTCACTCAAGAGACACACCAGCCATGTAGCAAACAGGAAAAAGGCTAAACCGTGCAAGGTCTGCGGAAGTTCAGGAACCAGGGAAGCAACATCAAGTTCAGATTTATTGTGTTTGTTTTATGATTACATTAGGCATGTGGGCTTCATTCTGAACCTCTTTGTTTCCTTTACCTCATATAAAAGAAAAAATCTTCTTTAATGTTCTGGCGGAGACTGTCATTTAACCTGGGCTCTGGTGCTTGGCTTCTCAGGCTCTGCACTAGGGCATTTTGGCCCCGTGCATCTAGTGGGCTAGATGCCAGCAGCAACCACCCAGCCACCTCCACCCCTGACCATCCCCTAATTCCACCAAGAATGTCTCCAAGACACTGACAAATGTTAATAGCTGGAGAGCAAAACTGTGACCAGTTGAGAGCATCGCTTCAGTGCGAACAGATGGAGATTCTTCATCTCAGTCTGTTAGCATGTTTTGTTTTGTTTTGTTTTGTGTTTAGCCACTGGGTTGATCTTAAGACAGGTATCTTAAGCAAACCCAAAGCCACATGCTCCATATTTATAGTTGAGAAAGAACTAAAATAGATGCTCAAGTACCTTCTGCCTCAGAACCTTTGCAGCGGCTGCTCCCTCTGTAAACGCTTGTCCCATGCAGCCCCTCCTCATGCACCCAGGTCTGGGGAAGCCCCAGCTGTGAAGCCCCTTGGGAAGCTCAACCCTCATGGAAAGCATGAGCATTGATGAATTGCCATTATGTGCTTCCCTGGCACCTGTCTTGGTATTTTAGGAAATCATATGTAGGAACCATCACCATGGCAATTCAGTAATTATATTTTTGGTAGCATTTCTAACATAAATTCTCATTGGTTTATAAGAGCATGTAAGTTTCAGGTGTCCAGCATTATAATCAACATCTGTCTACATGACATTGTGATCACCACTGAAAACCTGCTCTCCACCGTGGTCATGATTATTTAATGTCTCCTCCATTTCCGCAGGAACCAGGTCTATCTGCTGGCTCATGGGTCTCCAGAGCACTGAAAGAATCATTATGGACTCAAACTTAAGTAAAGTAGCTCCCCCTGCCAACTTTGGGGCTTTACTGCTAACAGATCATCACCCCTTGCAAGCGTCAAAGTATCATCCAGATCAGGTTAAGGGTAAATCTCTTCAGACCGCATATCGAGAATAAATATACTCTACTTAGGTGTACACTTTTCACTTTTGTTAATAAGAGCTATGAAAAGCTGCAAGAGGAACAGAAAGCCCAGGGAACCGAGTAGGTAGAGCTAAATAATTAGGAATTCTTTATAAGCATTTAGTTTGCTACAGCTTGATACTATTTATGCCCTTCAACATACTATGTTGCTTACTCTTTAGATATCTGCAATCCTCAAAAAGAGTTAAGAGGCACCCTTGAAATTGTATATTACATATATGTCATAATAAGTGTTTATTGAACACTTGCATAATGTATGTTATTAAAATTTTTAGCAAATTATTTTGAAATAAAACCAAATCATTTAATCCATGAATGTTTAGACCCCACTGTGTATATTATTTATTGCTAACACACAGTAGTATGTTAAACACCTTGACACTCTTTCAAGGAGCAGGGGCCACAATTTTCATATGATTCTCAAAGGTCTCAGTTTAAGACCCACCATCGGCCATGATTCTATTAAGGGCCAGCTTCTGGGGACAGTCCCATCAGCTTTGGTCCTGACTTAGGAAGAAAACACAGGTTCTATTACCGATTTCCTCTCCTGCTTCAGCTCCTGCACGTAGCGGGCCAGCTCCACCGTGATCTGCGAGGTCATGTTCTCCGAGATGACTTCGTGCTGCCCGGCATAGTCGTTCATCTCGTTCAGGGTGGAAATGAAGGCCTTGCATGCTGTGTACCTAGGGCAGAACGCAGTACCCGTTCAAACACTGCCCCTCCGTCCTAACACTGTGGAATGTTCATTAATTAAGATCAGGTTAATTTGCATTGCCCTCCCATGGGACCTTGACAATTCATCACACGGCAAAAGAGCTCATCCAAATGGCTCAGACTTAATTACAACTGGAACACTTTTGATTTTGTGAAACCCAAATGCCACACTGTAAGGCAATATTTGGCTTGGTCCCAATAAAACCCAAAATACACCTGCATACTCTATGTGTAGTGGACATTCGGATCTAAATTAGAGACTTTTCGGCTGTCCAGGTGAAGATGCCTTAATTGCAACTGTAGTGGACATCTCTGGCTACTACAAAACCAAACAGAGACTGTAAAGTATCCAACCCACATTCCTGTATTTGCCTAGATTATTTTATACACTTTCCCCAATTACGTTCACTAAAACAATCTGGAATAGGCGGAGTGACTCAGTGTAAGAAAAGTTCACTGAGTGAGTTTTTATTATCCTCTCTCCCGATTTAAAAAGGACACAAAAATGGGCGGTGTGATTTATTTCTATTGACATATATTTCTCCTTTTCCTTCATAAGCCTCACCAGTTGCATAAACGTTATCATGTAACGATCAGTGACAAACACACCTGTATTCTTCTTCCTCCTTTGAGTTCTTTTTAGGTTGGTATTTCTTCGAAAGATTCCTAAAACAAAAATGCAGACATATCACCTTACACAGCGAAACAAAGAGAAATCAGGAATGAAAGATGGAATGGGTGCTTTTGTTTGCAAGCTTTAAAAAATAAATCACAAATACCCATGGCTGGAATCCACTCATCTCCTTCCATCCTTCCATGTGTGAGACGAAACTGGGTTTATTAAGGACTTGCATGGCCTTGATTCTCTAACCTCAATGGGAGAGCAAATCAGCACAGAAGTGGTCGCTAGCTGGGCACTCGCCTGAGTGCACATACCTGACTTGCCCTAACCTGGGTGTCCGGACCCGTGCACACAGCAGGGTTTTCCTCTGTAGCTGGGTTGGGGACTGCTTCTCCCACCAGGTCACCCTTCTCTCAGATCCTCTTTAGCTGGGGTTACTGCTCTAATTTCTAAGTCCAAGGGAAGCATAAGGATGGTGTCCAAAAATTTAAATTAAAAATCTACAGGGCCTCCCCAGTAGCCTAGGGTTTAAGTCTCCGCACTATCACCACTGAGGCCTGAGTTCAATCTCTGGCCAGGGAGCTGACCCACACGGCACAGCAGACCTCTCCTGTCTTGCCCGTTGCTCCCCTCAGCAGTGTATTTCAGTCAGTCTTCCTGTTCTGCTCCCCACTCTGTCTCTGGTGAATCCACTCACCCCCCGCATCTCTGGCCTACACCTCAGTTCTTCACAAAAAATTAAAAACCTAAGTGCCAGGGGCATGTTTTCAAAGCTGTGTGGCTGCTCCCCCCAAATATTCATGAGAGCTCCTGGTGAAGAAGTCTCCCCAAGGAAGTGGAGTCCAGACTTGAGGGAGGGCCTCAGAGGCAGTGAAGAGATCTAACTGGTGGGGCTTTTGACCTTTAACAGGTCTGACCTTTAACGGAGCAGCCCAGCCTCTGTCCCTAACCCCATCTCAAGTCAAGAACCCAAATGCTCTGTCTACATCCAGCAGGTTTACATTTGCATAAAACGGAAGAGGTCACAGACAGCAGGAAAGCACACTGACAGGGGTCCCCCTGGCTGACTTCCCGGGGGCCTGACTTTGGTTTCTGGGACTCAGGCAATAGGCCGAGGCTGACAGGGGACTCTTCATTTGACAGCACCTTCTCCACTTCCCGTTTAGTCCACGTTGCTATTCCTCTTTCATAATAGCTACTTCATTATTTCACATTTTATTTCTTCCATTTCCCCAGAACCTACAGATTTGCCTAGGGGAAAAAACGTGAGCTAATACATTTACAGTTTATGGTCCACTTTACATACGAAGTGAAATGTGATCTCTCTATAAAGTGCTACTCAGTGTGGACTTTGGTAAAAAGGACACTCTCCGGGGTCCAGACCTGAGTCAAACCTGGATGATGCAACTTGAGACAAATTGGTGAGCAAGTCTGTGTTTCCGATTTCTCATCTGTAAGTCCGAGGGGGTCGGGGGAGAGACCTCAACGGCCCCTTCCCATTTGGACACTCCGAGGGGGTACACCCCATCTAGCCTGATAGCAACTGTTGCAATTAATGAATTGCAATAATTCATTATCATAATTCATGCAACAGAGATGTGTCTAAAAAATTTTTAGAGTTGGAATAATGGGTGAAAACAGGATGTACTCACTTGAAAGTTGCCCTTGCACGAGCTACACTTCAACAAAAGAAGCCAACTTTGCTCTGCTGAGACTCTGCATAGATAGCCAAGTGTATCTAATACAGCTAGACCCGAAAGAAAGACAAGGCAGGGGCCTCCCTGGTGGCCCAAGGGGTTAAGCATCAGCACTATGAAGCAATCCGCAGCTACTGGGAGCTACCCACATGGCACGGCTGACCTCTCCTGTCTCCCTGCCGCTCCCCTCAGCAGTGAATGTCAGTAGATCTGCCTGTTCTATTCCCCACTTTGTCTCTGGTGAATCCTCTCACCCCAACCCCTCGCCCCCCACCTCTGGCCTGTACCCCAGGCCTTGTATGCATAAATAAATAAATCTTTAAAAAAAAGGGGGGGTAATGAAAAGGCAGTATCTCCTTAAAGGCTGTGCCTTAAGGGTTAGTTGAAGTTAGTTTAAGTAGGGTTAGTTTAAGTTTCTTAACACAACCACTTGGTAAGGTCAGGTTTGGGAGGAACCACATCAGCACAAGCGCAGGCACACATGGGGGGGCTCGTGGCAACCCAGGACTTGGTGATTGGTAGATTCCTTCCCAGATGCATTGAGAGCGCGTCTACAGGAGACCAAGCACTGAGAAGAAGAGCGGTTTACATGTGAGATATTTTTAGTGTGTGCTTTTAAATATTAACCATTTCTTCTGTTAATGGTAACTCCTGAATTGAAAAGGTCACTTTTTTTAAAGATTTATTTTATTTATTTATTTATGCATACCAGAGGTGGGGCAGCGGAGGAGCGGCTTGAGAGGATTCACCAGAGACAGAGTGGGGAGCAGAACAGGCAGATCTACTCAAACACACTGCTGAGGGGAGACAGGAGAGGTCTGCTGCGCCACACGGGTAAGCTCCCTGGCCGGGTATGGAACTTGTGCTGCAGTGGCTGCAGATAGCTTCATAGTGCTGATGTTGAACTCCTTGTGCACCAAGGAGGCCACCTGAAAAGGTCCCTTTTGAATTCACACCTTAAATAAAAATTCTCTCAAAACTGTTATGTTAAAGGTTTATTTAAATCCATGTTTTGTTGTTAGCTTCTAGTCCTTAGCAGCCATAAAAATAAGTACCCTATGCATCAAGTTGAAGGAAACAGCTTGGACAGATGCAGGTGAAATCAGCAATCTCTAAGGTTCCCTCTGCCACTCAAGTCCTGGGCAGGATGAGAGGCTGATGGTGGTGGGGATCCCCTGTAAAGACCTTCCAGGTCCACGGGGCTATCACCCCCACATGTTGGCCGGTACTGCATTCAAAGTGCTCCTTAAAAGCACCCATGAATAATTCACTCCACAAATGCCAGCAGAGAACTAAAAGCTTAAGGGGTCTGGAGGAGAATTTCAAGTCTAAGGCTATTTCTCTTGGGAATCACTACAAAAAAAAAGATCCACTTTCATTTCACTCTCTGGAGACGGGCTTTCTGGCCCTCTCTGTATGAGACAGCTAAAGAAGAAGTAAGCAAATAAACCACAAAACACATCTTGAAATGTATAGGGTCTTTCTGAGAAATTGTTAGTGCTTTATGCTCTTAACTTGCTCTGCAGAAAGGCTAACGAAAAGGTCAGGGGGATTCCTATTCTTTCAGAGGGTACTGGCTCTTACAAAGGGCAACCCGGGGCCCATCCAGACCTGCTGGAACAGAAGGCCCCGGGCAGGACCCAGGAATGCCTTGTTTTGTTTTGTGCTTCTTTATTTTTTTTGAAAATTCACCACAAGATTCCCAGGTACAAATAACTGAATAAAATTCAATGAGAGAATCATACTTTTCTAACAAAGGGAGAAAACTGAAAGCTGGAAAGTTTTCAACAACAGAAAATAAAACGATGACAAGCACATCAGGACCTGAGGCCGGGTGGGAGGCACGGAGATGGGGTGGCTCGGGCTGACGGAGCCCCTCCATGGCCACCAGCGGGGAACAGTCACAAGACCTGGAAATGGATCCAGACTGAGGTCACCTGGGAGGGGGGGGGTGAGGCACTCCTGTGACAGGAGAGTTCAGCAGAAAGGCTTTGGGCCAAGCACAGGCAGGAGCACCAGGTCTCCACATTCCAGGGCTCCAAGACAGATGCACCTTGGGGGTGGAAACACCCAAACTAGGGATTCCAAAGGACTAAGACCCACCTGATGGGGCGAACTCAAACAGAACCTCTAGCAAAGTTTCAAAAACAAAGCTCAGCGTCTCAAAGGCAAGATGTGCCAGGCCAGGCCCTCACCCCACCTGTGCCCCACCCAGAGCTCAGGGGTGGGGTTCAACTAGAAGCAGAGCCAACTGGACCACTGTGTTATTTACACTAATTACAAAACCTGCCGAGGCGTGGGCCAAAGACCTTCAAGCTTCATCTCATTAAATCCCCTCCACAACCTCATAAGGCGGGAATTACTATTCACCTTTTACAGATCTGAGAGCTGAAACTCAGAGGCCCGATACATCTGTTATGTGGAAGAATCAAGCCTGCCCCCACCGCCTTCCCCCTCCCCCGGGCATCGGGAGAGTAGAGTCAGTGCTCTTTGCCTCTTCGTTAGAGGAAAGTTTTGAGATAATCACCATGTGGAAAGCAGCCAACATAGTCAGAAAATGATGATCTAAAAAACAAGGTGATGTTATGGGAGGAAAAAACTGTATCCCTGAAGTATATAACCCGATAACTAGAATAGAAAAAATACTCAGATAAAATTTGAAAAATTTCCCCTGCAATAGATGAAGAGTTGAATCTGCATTTGAAAGGGGTCTAAAGAAAATGGGTAAAAAAAAAATCATCAATAAGGCGCATTGCTTGGTGAAGTTATCCATCTGCTAAGTCAAACCCAAAAATCCACATCTGTGGTCAAAAAAGAAAAGCAAATCACCTGCAAGAAAAAAAAGAATCTGGCTGGCCCCAGGCTTTTCCATCAAAAACAACACAGCAACACAACTTAGAGAAGGAAAGTGGAACAATTAAATCAAATTGTTGCCAAGTACACTGGCATTCTCAAATAAGAAAGAAAAGAACAGGAGGATAACCCACTAGCTCTAATTGGGGGGAAGATATTCCTATTTTTCTTGATGCCAAGAAACAAGAGTTTAGGCAATGGTAGAAGGAACTATGGGGAGCATACGTCTATGTTTAAATATAGAATTAAGACAAATTAACCATGGGGCTCACGTTACAGACCAAATGACATAGCTCAGCTCAAAGAGGAAGCAAAACAGGTAAATATTATTTTCTTTATCTTTCCGCAGCGAGTCAGTGAGCATGTTTAAAATGACAACATGGAGTTAAAAAATAAAAAACAACAACAGTGAGACCATCGTACAAGGTTTTCATAACCTCTTGGCTAAATCTTGAGTTTATTACTTAAAGTTCAACTAATGCCTCCATTTCACT